CTACGTATTGTTTGATCGACCATGATCATCCTCGTGGACAATGTGATTTTACGGATCTGCCGCGATACCGACCATGACAAGCCGGTGGTGGTACACGCACTGTAGTTTTACAATGGGGGCTTCAAACCCATGTCACATTTCTGAACGGGGATGCTCCGGGGACGATTTGGTGCGACCAAGATGATAAGCTGCTAAAGAACTCGATGATCTCCAACCGGTAAGCGAGCTCACTGTAGCTGATGCAAAACGTCTTGGGGTCTTTAAGGGCATGAGGGCATGAAGACCCCACAAAGCAATGTTTGTATTGTGGAGCGTGCGCTGTTCCTATGGCAAGAAAAACATTTGCAGTTTGCCTATGAGTATTACTACACGCTACACGCTGATCGAGTTCGATATCTAGCTGCAAGGGCTGTTACCTACAAACCATTGGGTGTTACCATGCAATTAGCCACGTATGTACGGAAGGTACGTATTGTTTGATCGACCATGATCATCCTCGTGGACGGTGGGATTTTACGGATCTGCCGCGATACCGACCATGACAAGCCGGTGGTGGTACACGCACTGTAGTTTTACAATGGGGGGCTTCAAACCCATGTCACATTTCTGAACGGGGATGCTCCGGGGGACGATCTGGTGCGACCAATATGATAAGCTGCTAAAGAACTCGATGGATCTCCAACCGGGTAAGCGAGCTCACTGTAGCTGATGCAAAACGTCTTGGGGTCTTTGAGGGAATGAAGGCATGAAAGGCCCCACTAAGCAATGTTTGTATTGTGGAGCGTGCGCTGTTCCCTATGGCAAGAAAAACCATTTGCAGTTTGCCTTTGAGAATTACTACACGGGTGGACGGCGTGATTTTACGGATCTACCGCGATACCGACTTTGACAAGCTGGTCGTGGTGCACCGACTGTAGGTTTTACGATGGGGGCTTCAAACCCTTGACACATTTCTGAACGGGGATGCTCCGGGGACGATTTGGTGCGACCAAGATGATAAGCTGCTAAAGAACTCGATGGATCTCCAACCGGTAAGCGAGCTCACTGTGGCTGATGCAAAACGTCTTGGGGTCTTTGAGGGCTTGAAGGCATGAAGGCCCCACAAAGCAATGTTTGTATTGTGGAGCGTGCGCTGTTCCTATGGCAAGAAAAAACATTTGCAGTTTGCCTTTGAGTATTACTACACGGGTGGACGGTGTGATTTTACGGATCTACCGCGATACCGACTATGACAAGCTGGGCGGTGGTACACGCACTGTAGGTTTTACAATGGGGGGCTTCAAACCCATGTCACATTTCTGAACGGGGATGCTCCGGGGACGATTTGGTGCGACCAAGATGATAAGCTGCTAAAGAACTCGATGGATCTCCAACCCGGTAAGCGAGCTCACTGTAGCTGATGCAAAACGTCTTGGGGTCTTTGAGGGCATGAAGGCATGAAGGCCCCACAAAGCAATGTTTGTATTGTGGAGCGTGCGCTGTTCCTATGGCAAGAAAAAACATTTGCAGTTTGCCTTTGAGTATTACTCCACGGGTGGACGGTGTGATTTTACGGATCTGCCGCGATACCGACTATGACAAGCTGGCGGGGGTACACGCACTGTAGGTTTTACAATGGGGGCTTCAAACCCATGTCACATTTCTGAACGGGGATGCTCCGGGGACGATTTGGTGCGACCAAGATGATAAGCTGCTAAAGAACTCGATGGATCTCCAACCGGTAAGCGAGCTCACTGTAGCTGATGCAAAACGTCTTGGGGTCTTTGAGGGCATAAAGGCATGAAGGCCCCACAAAGCAATGTTTGTATTGTGGAGCGTGCGCTGTTCCTATGGCAAGAAAAAACATTTGCAGGTTGCGCTCTGAGTATTACTACACGGGTGGACGGTGTGATTTTACGGATCTGCCGCGATACCGACTATGACAAGCTGGCGGTGGTACACGCACTGTATGTCTTACAATGGGGGCTTCAAACCCATGTCACATTTCTGAACGGGGATGCTCCGGGGACGATTTGGTGCGACCAAGATGATAAGCTGCTAAAGAACTCGATGGATCTCCAACCGGTAAGCGAGCTCACTGTAGCTGATGCAAAACGTCTTGGGGTCTTTGAGGGCATGAAGGCATGAAGGCCCCACAAAGCAATGTTTGTATTGTGGAGCGTGCGCTGTTCCTATGGCAAGAAAAAACATTTGCAGTTTGCCTTTGAGTATTACTACACGGGTGGACGGTGTGATTTTACGGATGTACCGCGATACCGACTATGACAAGCTGGCGGTGGTACACGCACTGTAGGTTTTACAATGGGGGCTTCAAACCCATGTCACATTTCTGAACGGGGATGCTCCGGGGACGATTTGGTGCGACCAAGATGATAAGCTGCTAAAGGAACTCGATGGATCTCCAACCGGTAAGCGAGCTCACTGTAGCTGATGCAAAACGTCTTGGGGTCTTTGAGGGCATGAAGGGCATGAAGACCCACCAAGCAATGATTGTATTGTGGAGCGTGCGCTGTTCCTATGGCAAAGTAATAAACATTTGCAGTTTGCCTACGAGTATTACTACACGCTACACGCTGATCGAGTTCGATATCTAGCTGCAAGGGCTGTTACCTACAAACCATTGGGTGTTACCATGCAATTAGCCACGTATGTACGGAAGGTACGTATTGTTTGGTCGACCATGATCATCCTCGTGGACAATGTGATTTTACGGATCTGCCGCGATACCGACCATGACAAGCCGGTGAAGGTACACGCACTGTAGTTTTACAATGGGGGCTTCAAACCCATGTCACATTTCTGAACGGGGATGCTCCGGGGACGATTTGGTGCGACCAAGATGATAAGCTGCTAAAGAACTCGATGGATCTCCAACCGGTAAGCGAGCTCACTGTAGCTGATGCAAAACGTCTTGGGGTCTTTGAGGGCATGAGGGCATGAAGGCCCCACAAAGCAATGTTTGTATTGTGGAGCGTGCGCTGTTCCTATGGCAAGAAAAACATTTGCAGTTTGCCTATGAGTATTACTACACGCTACACGCTGACCGAGTTCGATATCTAACTGCAAGGGCTGTTACCTACAAACCATTGGGTGTTACCATGCAATTAGCCACGTATGTACGGAAGGTACGTATTGTTTGATCGACCATGATCATCCTCGTGGACAACGTGATTTTACGGATCTGCCGCGATACCGACCATGACAAGCTGGCGGTGGTACACGCACTGTAGTTCTACAATGGGGGCTTCAAACCCATGTCACATTTCTGAACGGGGATGCTCCGGGGACGATTTGGTGCGACCAAGATGATAAGCTGCTAAAGAACTCGATGGATCTCCAACCGGTAAGCGAGCTCACTGTAGCTGATGCAAAACGTCTTCGGGTCTTTGAGGGAATGAAGGCATGAAGGCCCCACAAAGCAATGTTTGTATTGTGGAGCGTGCGCTGTTCCTATGGCAAGAAAAAACATTTGCAGTTTGCCTTTGAGAATTACTACACGGGTGGACGGTGTGATTTTACGGATCTGCCGCGATACCGACCATGACAAGCTGGCGGTGGTACACGCACGGTAGGTTTTACAATGGGGGCTTCAAACCCATGTCACATTTCTGAACGGGGATGCTCCGGGGACGATTTGGTGCGACCAAGATGATAAGCTGCTAAAGAACTCGATGATTCTCCAACCGGTAAGCGAGCTCACTTTAGCTGATGCAAAACGTCTTGGGGTCTTTGAGGGCATGAGGGCATGAAGGCCCCGCAAAGCAATGTTTGTATTGTGGAGCGTGCGCTGTTCCTATGGCAAGAAAAACATTTGCAGTTTGCCTACGAGTATTACTACACGCTACACGCTGATCGAGTTCGATATCTAGCTGCAGGGGCTGTTACCTACAAATCATTGGGTGTTACCATGCAATTAGCCACGTATGTACGGAAGGTACGTATTGTTTGATCGACCATGATCATCCTCGTGGACAACGTGATTTTACGGATCTGCCGCGATACCGACCATGACAAGCCGGTGGTGGTACACGCACTGTAGTTTTACAATGGGGGCTTCAAACCCATGTCACATTTCTGAACGGGGATGCTCCGGGGACGATTTGGTGCGACCAAGATGATAAGCTGCTAAAGAACTCGATGATCTCCAACCGGTAAGCGAGCTCACTGTAGCTGATGCAAAACGTCTTGGGGTCTTTAAGGGCATGAAGGCATGAAGGCCCCACAAAGCAATGTTTGTATTGTGGAGCGTGCGCTGTTCCTATGGCAAGAAAAAACATTTGCAGTTTGCCTATGAGTATTACTACACGCTACACGCTGATCGAGTTCGATATCTAGCTGCAAGGGCTGTTACCTACAAACCATTGGGTGTTACCATGCAATTAGCCACGTATGGACCGGAAAGGACCGAATTGTTGGATCCAACATGATCATCCTCGTGGACAATGTGATTTTACGGATCTGCCGGGATACCGAACATGACAAGTCGGGTGGTCGTACACGCACTGGAGTTTTTACATTGGGGGCTTCAAACCCATGTCACATTTCTGAACGGGGATGCTCCGGGGACGAATTGGTGCGACCATTATGATAAGCTGCGAAAGAACTCGATGGATTTCCAACCGGTAAGCGAGCTCACTGTAGCTGATGCAAAACGTCTTGGGGACTTTGAGGGCATTAAGGCCCCACAAAGCAATGTCTGTATTGTGGAGCGTGCGCTGTTCCTATGGCAAGAAAAACATTTCCAGTTTGCCTTTGAGCATTACTACACGCTACACGCTGATCGAGTTCGATATCTAGCTGCAAGGGCTGTTACCCACAAACCATTGGGTGTTACCATGCAATTCGCCACGTATGTACGGAAGGTACGTATTGTTTGATCGACCATGATCATCCTCGTGGACGGTGGGATTTTACGGATCTGCCGCGATACCGACCATGACAAGCTGGCGGTGGTACACGCACTGTAGTTCTACAATGGGGGCTTCAAACCTATGTCACATTTCTGAACGGGGACGCTCCGGGGACGATTTGGTGCGACCAAGATGATAAGCTGCTAAAGAACTCAATGGATCTCCAGCCGGTAAGCGAGCTCACTGTAGCTGATGCCAAACGTCTTGGGGTCTTTTAGGCATTAAGGCGCCCCCAAGCAATGTTTGTATTGTGGAGCGTGCGCTGTTCCTATGGCAAGAAAAACATTTCCAGGTTGCCTTTGAGCATTACTATACGCTACACGCTGATCGAGTTCGATATCTAGCTGCAAGGGCTGTTACCTACAAACCATTGGGTGTTACCATGCAAATTCGCCACGTATGTACGGAAGG